CTTCCCAGATGCCCTTCGGATCTGGGCCCACATTTTGCCAAGGGAGGTGTGCTCATTCAGTTCGGAGCACCACTTGAGCCAGCTTACGTTTTTTATTTCTTCTTTCTCTTCCCTGATATCCTTACCTATGACTTGCAGGAGATGTCTGTTTGTTTCCGTGGGATGTCTCCTGTAGTTTCTTCGAGCCATGTTCACTCTGTGGTTGAGTTCTTTCACCCTGGGACAGTAGTAAGTAATCATTGTACTTTCTTGATGTGGGTTTTGTTTTTGGGATAGCCTCTTCTGCCGCTTCGTGAAACGCCTCGACCAATTGTTGGTGGAGGGTGTCTCGTCCACGGGTGCTGCGCTGGCCGGCTGTGATTTTTCGCGCCACTTAGCCAGGTGTTTCTTAAAGAGTCCCCAGTCTGCCTTTTGGGTATTGTATCTCCATCTCGGCGGGGGAGGAGTGGGGAGTTTGTTCACCTTCAGCGTTGTTAGGGTGGCGAAGTGGTCGCTGGTCAGTGTGGGGTGTAGCTGCCAGGAGGCCGAAGGCTGTAGTGCACTGGAGACGAAGGTTAGATCTACCCTTCCTCCCCTAATGTGGGTGGGCTCTCCGGTGTTCAGGAGGCAGATCTCGGGTGTGTCTTGAAAGGTGGTGTATAGGTGTAGGCCGTCTTCATTTGTGGGGCTTACCGAGCTTAGGAAGGGATGATGTGCGTTGAAATCCCCTCCTGTGAGTGTGGCGTGGTTACTGGCTGAAGCGAATAAATGAGTCACCTCCAGTGAGCCCCTTGGGTTCTTGTAGATGTTGTGAACAGTTAATTCCCGTTCTTGGAGGGTTACTTTGACGGCCTGTCTCAATGTTTTCCCCACATGGAAATTGCTGCATGACCTCAGAGGAGGGTATGCTTGACTTGACCAAGATCATACATCCTCTTGTTGATGCCTGTGTGAAATGCCTCCTGTATATCTTGTAACCACTGAATTTGAAACAGTGGTGTTCTTGTAGAAGTGTTTCTTGTAGCAGTATAATGTCAAGCTTGTCCTTGGCTGCTGCTTCTTGCAGGAGGTGTTTCTTGTTTTTGATGCCCTGAGCATTCCATGTAAGGATGTTCAGGGTGCTGATGTTTTCCACCACTGTTTCATCGGGGACTTCTGGTGGTCCTCGATGGAAATGTTCAGGTCCGATTCCGACTGGATCAGGTTCATATCTTCTTGTTCTGTGGTTTTTGCCTTCTGGGCCGTGGTTGAAACGTCCAATTTCTTTCTGGGAGCTGTCGGTATCTTTGGTTCTCTGGTGGCCTTTTTCAGTGTAGAGTGTACCTCGACTGTCACTCGTGTTGGGACCGGCGTGGCGTCCTCCACTGAGGTGGCTGGAGCTGTGGCGACTTGCCCGAGGACGCTCCCCATGAGTATTTGGAGCTGTGTGGGTTGGATCTTGTGGCCCAGTAGTCCGGCTAGGCCCTCCGCGAAGGTTGTCAGTACCTTGGCTAGGTCTGATACGTGTATCATTCCTTCTGGTGCCTTGGTGTGTGCTTCTTTTGTCTTTTTCGTGGTTGTCGTTGTCTGCTGCTTGGGTGGCTGAGGTGTAGCCGTAGTGAGGCCAGGAAACTGGGCTGCACTTTGGGTGTTGACTGGCTGAGGAGGTTGGCTTTGTTGTTTGGCCTTTGGGTTCCCCACACGAAGGTACTTGGTGGGGCTGGTGTGCAGGCGGTGGGGGACGGTCTTGCTGCTGGTTGGTTTGCCTGGACCCTCTTTGTCCTCTCGGAGCATCCAGGGTTCCAGGCGCGGTGTTTGCCCCCGCAGTTGGCACACTTGGGGGCAATTTTTTCTCCATTTTTCAACTTGGTGAGGCAGGAGTGTGTGCCATGCTGACCGGGGAACTTCTGCACGTACAAGTTCCCCGGACAGCCGGGGCCGTATTTATGTGATTTAGGAATCTCAGGATATGAGGTGCTCGTAGCGCGAGGGCCAATCACGGGAGCGGAAGCGTAAGGTGTGAAACGCTCTGATCCTGAGCTGGAAGTTGAAGGTCGAGACTAGGTCGGCGATCGTACCCCTATGTCCACTGCATAGACCTAGTCTCTCGGCGTATCTCTAACCCTCTCTCACCATGAACGGTTACGAGTTTGATAACGTGGCGCAGATACGTCCGGATACGCCGACCTGCCCCAAGAAATTAAACCTCCTAGTTCTCAAGATGTTCTTTGAAACTAATGAGATCATGGGGGTCACCAAGGTGGAACGACTGAAGCTCCATGGTGACATCAAGATCACCTTCGCCGAGAAGGGTATGCCCGTACAGCTCGCGGAGATCCCAGACATCAACGGCATTCCATTTAAAATGATTGCCTACAAGTGGGACAACCTGAAGCTGGGAGTAATCTCCCACGCCGAAATTGCCCACGTGGACCAAGCAGAGCTGAGTGAGCTCCTCAAGGGGCAACTCCAAGTTGTGAAGAAGCTGTCCGACACCACTGCCCTCATCGGACACCATACAACCTTACCCAAGGAGGCTCAACTGGCGTGGATAACTGTGCCAGTCAAGCCCTACTGCAGACCGAAACGTGTTACAAATGCCAGCACTACGGACACACTGTCAACAAGTGTGAGGCGCAGGAGGACACCTGCTCCCTGTGCGGCAGCCCCGGACACCGCTACACTGTCTGCCCCAACACAGTAAAAAAATGCCCTGCCTGTGGCGGCCCACATTCCTCCGCCGATCGGACCTGCCCCAAATGGAAGGAGGAATGCAGGATAGCCAAGGCTCGACTCGACAAGAAACTGAGCTACAAAGAGGCCCTCCTTGCTGTACGCTCCCAAGAGAAGAAAAAAACCAGTAGAAAAGAAAAACCAAGAAAAGAAAACCCAAGAAAAGAAAACTCAAGAAAAGACACACTCCACACAGAATCAAGAACACCACGAGGCCCGTGGAGCTGAAGCCCATGTGGTCAACCTCACCGTCTCCGACTTCTTCCACACCTATGAGGACATAAGACACGAGGAAGACGAACAACAAGACCCAAACACGAATGAATGGACACTTCAAGAGAGCAAGAAGAGGAGGAGAGTTAGAAGAAAATCAACATCAAGCTAAGAAGAATACCAAGACAGAAGACCAAGACATTTCCTCCAAACAAGAAAACAACACACTCAATCAAGCCGACCAAGCACTGAGAAACCATGGCCCAACCCAACACGCACCTGACGCTTGACCTGACGCTAACCTGACTCTGTCCTGCCGCCTCCTAGCCGCGTCCAGGCGAATTGCTGCTGCCTCCAACTTCAAGTCCCTCACGCAAGCGGTGTTTAGCCACTGCACCTATTCTCTCCTCCTAAAATTCACTTCAATCCTGCCTTTATACTTCCCCTGAATCTCCTTCCCCCCTGTCACTAGCATTTTATGTTATGTTATGTTATGAGCTTCTAAACTTGAGCTGTACGCTGATTGGCTCGCAGGCGCGCGGCCGGAGCTCAGTTGGAAGTTGTAGGGGAGAGGATCCACTACAATATAATGTATATGTAACCGGTCGGAATTTACTGGACTTTAATTTCTCACTTGACTTGGGGTTTATTAAAGATTGTTAGATGGTAATGGCAGTGGAAGCGCCCCTTTGAGAAAAATCCCGAACCAGCACAAGAACACTTAAATCTACTAAACAAAATGAATTGTCCGTGACCCATGGAAGGATAGCGTCTGTGACTGGGATGAATGAGACACACTGTAAAATTTAGACACTTATATTCCCTCCAACAA